GATGGTGCACATAGTTCAAGTTCAAAACCCACGGGAGGTAAGCCTCTCTTCCTGGTCATCATCCTGGGCTAAGGGAAGATATTTCTTTGTAGTCATCCTTTGGTGACGGCATAGCCGTTTATTAGTTCCACCTTTATAAAGGGGTCTCAGTTCCAGCTCCTCACCTTGGGCAGGCACAGGGCCTCACCTCCCATCCCCTCTCATGGCCCCCTTCACGCCCCTGTCACAGGGATTGTATTTATTGCGCTAGCAAAAGGAGTTTCCCAGTAGGTGGGCTTTATGTTATTTAGTACCAGCAGAACTAGAAGTTTTATAAATTAGACTTTAGAACTGCATGTCACTAACACTTTTGTCTTTCGGAGCAGAGATCAGTGGGCTGAAGGCAGGATTTGTGATGGAGAAAAGGACAGTGTGTTCCTGTCCTCTGCATCCTACCAATTCTGAACTCGAGGCTGACAATCACCATCACACCCTAATGTTTTATATCCTTTTTATGTTTTCCTGTCCCTCCCTCTATTTTTCCGTGGAGGCAGGAACCAGGGACAGGAGATTAAGAGGGTAATCAGCGAAAGAACACTGCTGAGGATAATAACAGCACTAGTAACAAGAGTTGACATTTATTGACATTTCAACAAGCCAGCTCCTGAGCCAGTGCTTTCCAAGTGTTCTCTCAAACCTGGGATCTTGGCGTGCTGAGCATTTGCTCAGGTAGGCACCCCTGAGAAGTGGTAAGGATCCCAACCTTAGTCATCGAAAGCCAGAGCCTGCAATGGCCTGCTTCCGCCTCAAACATTCCAGTTTGAATGTTTAAATTCCTATTTTTTACTTAATATCCCATTACCTCCCTACCCCACCACCACACACACACAATATCTATTTATTCTTTTCATCTCCTGTTAAATGGCAAAGCGATATTGTGTAGGATTATTCCTGAAGGTGCTGCAATACCCAATTCAGGTGACACCTTCTTCCAGGAGGCTGGTTAGGTGGCCCTCCCAGGCTTCCCATAAGCATACTGACCCATCATTATTCCATTCTACGAGTCTCCTAGGGTCTATGAGCTTCTTGAGGGTAGAGACGATTTCTTATTTCTTTTTGTATATCAAGCACACAGCACAAATCCTGGCACATAGGAGACACTTGGTAAACATTTGATGAATGGATGAATGAATTAATGAATAAACAAATGGAAACTGTCTTTCATAGAGATTATGGTCTCAGCTGAATATATTTCCAAGAATAGAGATATTCTTTTATTATTCTTATAAAATACTAATTCATTCTACTTTTGTCTGAAAACATGCAGCAATCTATCTGGAGATGCATATTTCTCTGATTTGTGTGTAAGTCTGTTTCACAATTACGAAGGTGTCATAGGACAAACACAGCTGCACCTAGGGTACCCTGGCCTCACTCAGCTCAGTGTTTTCCTGGGCCTGGGAGGCCTGCTACCTCATGGCTTCCATCTAACTGCGGGCCCTCCATCAGGTTATGAGGAACATTCCGTTCTGCCCTGTGCCCAAGCATCGCTCTCCCCCGTTGCGACAGCATGACAACCAGATGTTGCTGCCTCTGTTGGTGGCCGCGCTGGGAGACCCTGTGAATTTTTGCAAACTGATGCATTTATCCTGAAAGTATCATTTTGTTGTCCTTTCATTCTCTTTGTCTCAAAAGGATATCTGGGGATATCCTTAAAAAGAAAAAGTAACAAATCCAGGTACAGGTTTAAACCCGTCTGTCCAAGGCTGACATTGTTGCAATGCTGTTTCCCACCTATGAAGGTGATGGACCATCTTGCTTTCTCAGAAGTAACAGCAAGATGTCTCAGTCACCCAACTCCTATCAAACCATGCCATGTTACACGCACCAAAGAGTTGCTAGAATTATTTCTCTCCAGAAAGAAAAGAGAAACCACATATACTCGGGAACACAGTTGCTTTTAAGTAACCCCAGATGGGATGTGTTAGTATCCCTCCTCTCATTCTATAATAAATCCTTGTAACTAAATAACAAGTACTCATTATTTTGGGGCATGCAGATGTCAGAGAAAGCTTTTCTAAGCATGGAAAAGGGAGAGGTAAGAACTAAGGGGATAGGGATGAGCACAGTGGTCATTTTGTCATACTTCGGTAAAGTAGAAAGGTTATATTAAAGGTGGACACAACAGGGCTTGTCTGGGGAATCTCATTGATCTTAGGCTTCTACCCTGTTGGTTGATCAGAGAAAAGGAGGCTGCATCGTTAAGAGTATGGGCCTCAGTGAGACAGACCGTGGTTTGAACCCCATCTCTGCAATGTAGTAGCTGTGTGATGCCAGGCAAATTGCCTAGCCTCTCTGAACTTCAGTATGCTCATCCATAAAATGAGAATCATTCTTCCTATATCACAGGGTTGTTATAAAAATTGAATGAGAAATCTGTTAGCTCCTAGGCACATTACCTGAAACACAGTAACTGCAATTAATAACAACATGCAGTAAGTGCTGCTGTTATTATTGCTTATGGAAAAAAGAACTAGTCCCATATAATGAGGAGATGCCTAATATGAATGGGTGCCACAGGGCCCCAGACCAAATCAGTCTCTCATCCATGATCTTATCTTGAATCCCATCCCTCCCCACCAAAAAGCCACTACCTGAGGGCCATCTAGAGTCCTGTTTGACTGGATTAAGGGACTATGATGCTGAGACAGGCACATAAAGCAAGAGCTATCTTGCACATTATCAAGGATTTGTTAAGGGGACCAAAACCCATTAACAGTCAGAGTCACATTGGATAAAGCCATCTGCTGAGGAAATCAGACAGAGAGCAGGTAAGTTTTGATGAGGTAAAAGGGCAAGGAAGAGGTAATGAATGGTCCAAGGCATAGCATGATACTGCAAGGGGAAGCCTTGGAGATCAAGTCACCCAGGGAGCATACAATACGAAGGAAGAATGACTCTGAAAGGGGTCTAGGAGAGAAAACCCGAGTCCAACTTCTCCAGTTTTAAAATTTTGCTTTAGGCCCTAACCCAGCCGTGGGCAAACTACGGCCCGCAGGCCGGATCCGGCCCGTTTGAAATGAATAAAACTATTGAAAAAAAAGACCGTACCTTTTTATGTAATGACATTTACTTTGAATTTATATTAGTTCACACAAACACTCCATCCATGCTTTTGTTCCGGCCCTCCGGTCCAGTTTAGGAACCCATTGTGGCCCTCGAGTCAAAAAGTTTGCCCACCCCTGCTAACCGGTTTGGCTCAGTGGATAGAGCGTCGCCTTCGGACTCAAGGGTCCCAGGTTCAATTCAAGTCAAAGGCATGTACCTTGGTTGCAGGCACATTCCCAGTGGGGAGTGTGCAGGAGGCAGCTGAACGATGTTTCTCTCTCGTCGATGTTTCAAACTCTCTATCCCTCTCCCTTCCTCTCTGTAAAAAACCAATAAAATAATATTTTTTAAAAAATAAAATAAAATTTTGCTTTAGGTGAAAAGGAAAGAAAGAGTACATATTTTGGAAATTGGAGCCATTTCTAAGATTCCTCTGGAATGATATAACTGTGTAAAAATTCATGAGCAATCATGCATCCTCGTCCTGGATTTCATTTTAGGCTTAAGGCAGGCTGCATAGAAGGAAGAACTGCAGGGAATCGTAAGCCCCTGCAATGAAGCAGGGTGAAATCCCCTGAGCAGCGGCTGTCCTGGCCCAGGCAGCTTCCGGAAGTGCAGCTCTGGACCTCACCCCAGCTTACTCCCCATGTCAGGAGTTGAAGGCAAGGAGTTGCGTGAGGAACTGCCAACGTCTCAGAGGACCCCCAAGTCCCAGGCCTGAACAAGCTGACCAATAATATGTGTGTGTCCATATTCTATTCAAGACCAAGGATTGCCCCCAGTGAGTAAAATTGGGCTAGTGAGCAACAGTCACAGAGAGACAGAAAAGGCCTCCCAGCAATCGGAGCTGATCAATGGCTAGAATGCAAAGTAGTAAGATCCCCATCGCCAACAGTAGTCAGCTTACAGAAATTCATGTATTAAAGTGGAGATTGACCTGGCGAGCGTGGCTCAGTGGTTGAGCATCGACCTATGAATGAGGAAGCGATGGTTTGATTCCTGGTCAGGGTACTTGCCCAGGTTGCAGGCTCAATCCCCAGTGTAGGGCGTGCGGGAGGCAGCCAATCAGTGATTCTCCCTCATCATTGATTTCCATCTCTCCCTCTCCCTTTTCTGAAATCAATAAAATAAACACACATACACACACACACACACACACACACACACACACACACACACATATATATATATATATATTAAGAAAAAGGAGATTGGACTCACTTCCAATTTTCCAGTCCTATAAAATAAAAGGCGTGACCTATAATTATAACAAACTTATAGGATACCCAAGAAAACAGAAATTGTGGAAATAATAGCAATCCAAAGCAACTTACAATGAGCCAAGGGAAAGGTCTAAAAAACTCAGTATGGCAATTCCAAAAAGCAGCTCTCCTGAGAATATTCAAGAAAAAACCAGAAGTTTATTCACACCTGAACAAAATTCAACCCTTTGTAGAAGCAGTCATTAGGCTGAATTCCTGGCACTGAGTATAGAGACGATTTAGAGCTGGAGGAATTGGTACACAAACTCTAAAGCAGTCCCACCAGGTTCCTACTCAAATGCAGTACAGCGCATAATGCTTGCCATTAAAAACAAACAAACAAACAAAAAACCTCAAACCTGGTTAGCATGGCTCAGTGACTGAGCGTCAACCTATGAACCAGGAGGTCACAGTTCAATTCCTGGTCAGGGCACATGCCCGGGTTACCAACTTTGAACCCCGTGTGCACCCCTCACCCTTCCTCTCTGAAATCAATAAAAAGAAATATTTTTTAATAACCACAAACAAACAGTTGCTTTCCCATCTCATACAAAAAATCAGATCTGCTTGAATTCTGCTCTCTGCATTTGTACACGCTATAGATTTACTCTCAATATTCTGTTTTTCAGGAAATTAGAACTCAAAGTTATGGCATACCAAAGTTAATTGTTAATTCAGAAGCTAAAATCTGCAACCTCATAATTTCCCAGGGGCTTGAAATTCTTATTTATTCGTTCGTTTCTGACAGTGTCTGAGGATCAGATTAGAAAAGGCATTCTTTGTCCCACCAACTATGTATGCATCAGCTGGAAACAGGAAAGAGAGATAAAAATTGACTAGGGTCTTGCTACTGGTGTGGTCCAAAAACCCAGCCTTAAAGGCATCACCAGCTCCTCCCATCCCCACCCCCACCCGTCCCAACCCCACTCCCGGATCTGCAGAATCCGAATCTGCATTGTAACAAGATCCCAGCGATTGTAGGTACCTAAACATTTGAGTCCTAAACCAAGGAACCGGGATTCCGTTGTTCACCTTCTGACCTTCACCAGAAACAGCAGCCTCTGGAAAGCAAAACAGAGAAAATTACTGTGATTGTCATCATTCCTGGGATCCTCCGTCAAGTGTTTGTATTGTTTTAGAAAATTTCCTACTGCGCACAGGGACCAGCCAGGCTTACCCGGGGCCGCCAGAGCCTCCCGCGTGTTTTGACCCAAATCAGCTGATTAGTCTCGGTTCGTTATTAGACTTCAGGGGAAAGGAGAGGGAAGCCTTCAACAAGTGTCCGGACAAGGAAAGGCAGCTGGTTCTCGTAAACGGCAATAAATGAGCCTAGCGGGGCTCCATCCTGTAGAACCGGCAGCTTCTCATTCAGCAGAGAAATCCCTGCCTGGGAAGCCAGGGCCACTTCCCAGACGCCAGGGGCTTCGATGAGCCCGTGAATGTGGCAACAGGGCAACTTGGGGGGCATCCAGGCATGAGACATGCACAAAACCAAACTGAAGTATTTCCCAGAGTCCTTCCTCCATTCAAAAAGGCCACTGATTGAGACAGGAAACGCCACAGATCTTATAGCAGCTTTTCAAGGAGGGGGGGGGGGCACACCTTTAAATAAGTCACAGACATGCCCCCATTTTTTAAAAGTAAATCTGAGGAGGAAGGGTTTGTGGGAGCATATCTTAGAATCAAGAGAATTTGGCAGAACAGTGCTTGGCCATGTCATTGGCGGGTTTTGTTCATGGCTATTAGCAGTGAAGTGTTTGCCTGGCTCCCTGCAAATACATGTGAAAAAGTGGCGGTCACTGTTTTCTGCAAGCATCTGTTTTTGCTGCAAGAATGAAATACAACCGGAATGCCCCAAAGAAGAGAAATATCAAGACCTCACCTTCTCCAACTAAACTTGGATTGGAAATCAAATAAATCTAAGAGTTTTGTGCTCCTGCAAAACTTTGGCTTTCATGATCTGGGGCCTGATTCTGGTAACCTCAAGACCATCTGACCAGGGGTACACATGTGTGGGTAGGAGGACGGGGTAGTGGTCAGCAGGAGGTCCTAAACACCTAGCGAGTCCGCGAAATTCTGACTCCCTAACGTGCGAAGCTGGGGACTTTCACTCCCTCATCCCTCCTACTTCACCCCATTCTGAGTGTCTGGTGCAACAGCTGAGCTCTTTTCAATGAGTAAGAGATTCCTCTCGCTCTCGCCCTAACGTGAGAAAGGCACAGCAATTAAGAACTGCGAGAGTGCCATCAGGAAATCCAAAGTAAGAGTTCCAAGTGCATGCCAAGGTTAGACAATGGACTTCCCCATCCTGCAAAGCCTCAAACAATCATCGCCATGTGTCATAAAATTTACAACAAGCCACTTTTGCTAATGGAAAAGTACTTTCTTTCTAAGGCCTTCTGGAAAGTTGGTGTCTTTTTTTTTTTTGCTTTTAAATGGATTCTAAATACTAGGATTTCCCACAAACTGAGTTTACCACCAAGAACGTCAGAAGGATGGATCCTATTGGTTAACGGGTGGAAAAACCTGTGCCACAAGGAACTGTGTTCATACTTGCTTTTAAAGACTTTCATGTGATTTTTTTTTAAAAGAAAGAATACTCTAAGTGGATATTTATAAAAAGCAAACATTTTTTGAAGAATTCCTCATAGAGGCCTCCAGCTTTCAAGGAGGGACATCACCGGCTTATCTTTCCCCTGAATCCTAAAGCTCCCTCTAGTGACCAAGAACGTATCACCGGTGACAGGTACACACAGTAAACATTTTCCAAAGCCTCTAGCTTCTAGATAGCACCTTGAGATTCTACAGCATTTTCACATACATCTGCTCATTTAACACGAAAACAGTAGGAAGGAAAAGTATCCTTTACCCCATTCAACAGAGAAGTAAGCTGAGGTTAGATGAGGCTGACACTTGCACGTGGCTGGCGGTACGGGAGCGGGAATGGAGGCCAGGTCCCCTGTGTTGTCCTGCCTCATGCTCTGTGACAATTACGTAGAGCAGTGATGGCGAACCTATGACACGCGTGTCAGAGGTGACACGTGAACTCATTTTTCTGGTTGATTTTTCTTTGTTAAATGACATTTAAATATATAAAATAAATATCAAAAATATAAGTCTTTGTTTTACTATGGTTGCAAATATCAAAAAAATTCTATATGTGACCCGGCACCAGAGTTAAGTTAGGGTTTTTCAAAATGCTGACACGCCAAGCTCAAAAGGTTCGCCATCACTGACGTAGAGCAACCCATGAATGTTCTCATGGAAAGCACTCGTGAAGCATGTTCAAGGGATTTACAGAGTGCTCCTTGACTTTGGGGCTCCCTTGGAGAATTGGATGAGAATGACGGGCCCATACCTACACATTTTCCCCTGCAACATCAGAGCACCGTGGACCACCCTGAAGGGTATCTACTGACCCCCTAGGGCTCTAAGAACCCCAAATGAAGAACTTGTCGACACCTCCTGGATATAATCTTGAGATATCAAGAACTCAAGGAAATGAACTTTGAAGCTGTGTGACCAGCCTTTTTTTAACCTGCATGAGGAGCCAAAACTCTGACTCTCCTTTAAGAGATCAATCCATATTTGCAAGAAGTTGAGCTTGGGCATTTCCTTGCATTTTCTATAGATGTGTGTATGAACAAAGCAATGTTTTAGCAGGGCCTAGGAGGAGTGTGCTTGGGAGTTTAAACAACAGACACATTGTCTCGGTTTTCTCTGGTATAAGAGATTAAAGGAATGATCATAGCTTCACACGTACTGCACATGTTTGTGCGGCAATTATGCTTGACAATTGGTTCTGGTTTCCCCATTAATGCCAAAGATTCTTTTTTACAATGTGATAAACCCTTTTGGCTCCAGCATACCGGTTCCACACATTCCTTGGTCTTTTTATGCTTAATGACGGAGTTTTAAAAGCTATACTTTGTCTAACTCTGGGGTGCGCATGTGTGAGTGTGTGTTAGGGCCATGAATAGGGTTGGGGATACAAGAGAGGACAAGAGATTATGGGGCTTAATGGACTGACTATATATATATATAGCTCCCAATCACCCTGCTGGTCACCCCACCCACAGATTGGCCCTGATTGCCGGCCAGGCCTAGGGGCCCTACCCATGCACAAATTTAGTGCACCAGGCCTCTAGAGTATGTGTGTGTGTGTGTGTATATATATGTTTTTCCAGAGAGGAAGTGAGATGATGAGAGAGATAGAAACATCAATGATGAGAGTGAACCATTGATTGGCTGCCTCCTGCACACCCCACACTGGGGATCGAGGCTGCAACCTGGGTATGTGCCTGACCAGGAATCAAACCATGACCTCCGGGTTCATAAGTCAACACACTCAACCACTGAGCCATGCCGGTCGTGCCTGACTATATTTTAAAAGTAAACTCACATGGCAACCATTCATAGTTAAAAAAAAAAAAATAGATAGATAATAAATGTGCAAAAGAAAAACAGCCCCAAATATAATTTTAGGATTCTCACTAAGTTCATTTCAGTGACAACAAAATCTGGTTACACACAAACCTGTGGATACATGTCTAGATATAATTGTCTATGACTCTTCATACTTTGCCTAGGTACACCCATTTGACTGGCCCCCAAAAGTAGCAGCAACTATTTTAATGAATATCATGCATCAAGGTTGAAATCAAATTTGCTAAAAGTTAAATTATTCCTTTTTTATTTCACTCCAATGCAAAGGCTTACATCACCCTAAATGGGCCCCAAGAACCTGGTATTCTTTTATACTCTTGTCCTCCAATATTTATTAGTAAAGTCATCACGAGAAAGGGAAGAATTACTATTATTCTGATATATTTCAAACATTTCCCTTTCCCTAGATACCAATAATATAATTATTATCAATGCCTATTATTTTTCAGGAGTTATGCTAGATACTTTGAAACCCAGTTCTACTCTTAACTAGCAAGTTAGCTTCTCTACACTAATGTTATCTTGAGAATAAAAAATGGAGATAATGAAAGCACCCACATAATGGAATTGTTGTAAAGACTAAATGAATATAGTGCTGAGAATAATGTCTGGTACACAGTAAGCACTCCATAAATGTCAATTATTATTATTTACTATTATTAAAAAATTGTTTTTGTTAATACTCACCCGAGGATATTTTCCCATTGATTTTTAGAGAGAGTGAAAGGGACGGGGGGGAGAGACAGAAAGACAGAGAAACATTGATGTGAGAGAGACACATCAATTGGTTTGCCTCCTACACTTGAGGCCAGGATCATGCCTGCAAATGAGGTATGTACCCTTGGCCAGAATTGAACCTGGATCTCTTCAGTTCATTGACTGACACTCTATCAACTGAACAAAACTGGCTAGAGCTATTTACTATTATTTAAAATAATACTCAAAATCACCCTTTGAGTGGAAATCATAATCCCATTTTACAAATGAGGACTTTGAGATTCAGACGCTAAGAAATGTGCTCAAAATTACTCAGCAACTAAGCATCACAGCTTGAATGTGAACCTATTTCCACATGTCTTTGAAGCCCAGGCTCCGCCTGATGCTACACTGCCTCCTCCATCAAATAACGCTTCATTCTTACCTGAGGCAAGAGTGCTCTTCACCCATGTTGGTCTCAATTGCCTCACCTATAAAATGGGGATAATGACAGTGCCTACTTCCCAGGGTTGACAGAGCAAGCACCCATAAATGTGACTCTGATGTTTCTCCTAGTAATGAAACTAAAGGCTACCTTGAGACTTCCTAGGCAAGTTAAGAAAAAAAAAAAAATGTGACTGGCCTCACAATAAAGTGACAACCAATGTCTTCTACCCAGTGACATGATCATCACACTAAAGGTCTGTTTAATCTGTTTAACATTTTATTTCTAAATTTCTCTTTGAACCTCTCTTGGAAGAACCCTAACATCTTTATGTAAGAATAACAGTCCCAAACCACCTGAAATAACAACAGTGGGGATTTTTAAAAAGGGGTCTGTTTGTTCTGGAATACCATAAAAGAGGTCCGCTAATTCAGCAGATTACTAGCTTCAAAGCAGTTCAACTTGACCAACTTG